TATAGCACTTGTATATCATTGCTCTTTTGTTGTTTTGATTGCTTCTATTGTCTTCATTTGTAAGTCGCTTTGGGAAAAAAGCATCTGCTAAATGACTAAAAGTAAATGTACACACACTGTAAAATAAAGTGCAACCACTATAATAGCTGGGTTACACTTTATTTTAGGGTGTCCATACATTTAAGTACCGAGTAATATTAATTAACTGCATGTACTTGCAGTACTATATGGTTAGGGTTTGGCTTAGGGAAACTTGCATGTAATTATGCATAAGTGTTGCTGTTAATACAATTATGCATTTGAGTGTTGATGACATTATTTTGTAGCATTGATGCTAATGTTATTGCTCTTGTTGTGAACGGGCCTTCAAGTGTTGGAATTTAGTCTTCTATCGTTGACAGAACTGCATTGCTTATAAGAGACAAACGATAAATTGATTCCTATATGAAGACTTTTCCCCCTCTAGCACTGGCTGCAGAGCATTTTTCATGATGAAAGCTTCAGGATCTCATGGATTTCCATTGCCAGAGGAACGGCTGGTTTGATTACAGTTCAGCTCTGGACATCAGGGCAGAACATGGCAGCTGGTGACTCTCTTCCCAGCGGCTCATGGATGCAGGCCGATCTGAGAGCAGGGAAAAGCAGAAGGAACCAAACTAATGAAGAATGTTTTTGCATTAGAAATAGTTCAGCTGATCTGGTACTACCACTAAAGGTAACTCAGATGTTTAATGAAGAACATCGATGAGATTTAACTAGCCATTAATGATAGACATTGATCTAGTCCAGCCATGTGACATTAAAGATTGTATTAGATGCATTAATGCAAGGGTTTTCTAACCTGTCCTGGACGACCCCAGTCCTGTACACAAAATGTACCTCACGAAACTGATTTAGGACAGGCATCTGAAGCAGCAGAATGATTTCATAAAACGGAGCGACTGAGTGGGTCAGACTGAAAGCAGATTTCACACTGTCCTGCACTGGCAATCATCCATTGTCCTGCAAATCAGTCCCAACTGAGCCTGGTTTCTCCCAAGGTTTCTTTCTTCTCCGTTTCTGTCACCGATGGAGGTTTGGTTCCTTTGGTTCGCTCAGTTGGAGACGCTTGACTGATTACACAGACACTGTTGGAGGAGAGCTGAACTGGTGATGGCATCACTGAATCATCAAATGAACTGACTTTAGCTGGAAAATGGCTCTTTTTCTCTTTTGCATTATTGACTAACTATTTTCCTGTTGACACTGTAAAGCTGCTTTGACACAATCAGTATTGTATAAAGCGCTAGGCTATATAAACAATGAATTGACATGATCTGCAATCAGAAAGTCCTGCTTTTTTGTGTCCCACGTGAGCATCTGGTGGTATTACCTTCGATCAGGATGTAAAGAATTGGCTCAACTATCTAAATCCATTACCTATACTTCTGTTTTCTGCTCCAGAATCAAGCTACTCTTAACCAGTGGTTTCTAGGATCAGATTCCGCTCTTTTTCTCTTTTGCATTATTGACTAACTATTTTCCTTTTGACACTGTAAAGCTGCTTTGACACAATCAGTATTGTATAAAGCGCTAGGCTATATAAACAATGAATTGACATGATCTGCAATCAGAAAGTCCTGCTTTTTTGTGTCCCACGTGAGCATCTGGTGGTATTACCTTCGATCAGGATGTAAAGAATTGGCTCAACTATCTAAATCCATTACCTATACTTCTGTTTTCTGCTCCAGAATCAAGCTACTCTTAACCAGTGGTTTCTAGGATCAGATTCCTGCTGCCAAATCTAAAGCAGAGGTCTGCTCCTGGAGATCCTGTCCTGTTCCAACCTGCACCATGATAGTCATTTTCATCTTTACAGGGTAATAAAGATATTTTTGGATAGAAACAATGGATTTCTTTGGAACTGTTCACACACCAGGCACAAATAGTCATCTGTGAATTAAGAAATAAAATAAATGTACAAAGAAAAACCTAAACTTTCAGTGCCTTTCATAGTGTTATTTTGTGATTTGAGAGATTTAACAGCTCAGTTTTAAAATGGTGAGCATGAATTATGACTCGCAAGTGAATTTAGGCCTACTGCATGTTTTAATACATGCAGCTGTATATTATTCTGTTTAATATAAACATGACACACGGTTGAAAAATCAAGAGTTCTCGTTTATTTGTATCCTGGGCTGTTAAATGTATAAAACTGCACATGCTAGTTTACCTAAATACGCGTCTCTTGCTGTGTGTGTGATGAGCAGCAAAGATAGGCATAGCATATGTATGTTATTAACGTAAGTCCTGGCTGGCTAATTACTTCAAATATATATGCATGTATATATTAAATGGGAAACATGATTTTGGCAGCACAGTCGCTAGTTTTTTAGCAGGGTTGAGAGCGGCACGTGATACACCGTGTCGGTACACCTCAAGGCAGTGTATGCAGACCGCTGTTATTTAATATAATGATTAATTAAGTTTTTGAAGAAATTGATCACAGTATAGGAAAATCATTATATGCTGATGACGGGGCGTGGGGCCCTTTGGATAAGGGGAAGGCAATAGCACAAGAGTGTTGGGAACAATACATCTAATTGTATGAGTTTTGAATGGATAGAAAGTGCAAAAGCAAGAAAGGCATGTTTACATACTACTATACAATACTGTTCAACAGTTCCTTACTCTGAAGTTCCCCCTTAGAAGTTTAGGAGTTTATAATGCCTTTAATTGACTTGCAATTACAGGAAAAAATAACAAGAAAATCAAAACTTATGCCTGTCTGGTGCATAGTTAAAAACTATAAGGAGTTGCGTTTCACCAGTAAAATAAATGTTATTTACAGATGGTTCAAAGAACCCTGATATTGGTCGCACAGGTGCTGCAGTAGCTATATACATCGCACAATGCGAGGAAAATATGAAAAATAGAACAACAGATGACTTTCAGTGAATAGGTAGCAGTAATATTACGTTTACAGTGGCTAGAACTAAGAAATAAAAACAATAGTAGCATCTGATTTATTTTAGTTTATGTGCTCTCAAAAGTATTGGATCCGGGAAATCATGCAGACTTGATATTTTAAATGAAACATATCAAATCATCCTTAGATTACACACTAATGGTACGAATGTATCATTTATCTGGGTTCCTGCACAGGTAGGCTAGGTGTGAAAAGAAACAAAGAGGTAGATCTGTTAGCAAAACAATCTCTCAAATTCCAAACAATAGATCTACAGGTTAACTTAAGTAAAGATGAAGCCAAGACTATAATAAAGGTACATAGACTAAATCTATGGCAGGAATACTGGGATATGGACCTTTTTCACATTTCCGGGTTTCTCAGCAGCGGAAGTCGTCATAGTTGGGTTAACTTGAAGAGCAGGAATGGGAGAGCACCACAGATACTCCACGATAGTGTTTTCCTGACTTTCAATGAAAGGAAAAAAATAGAGAGACTGATATCGTGTGTGTCTGTGTGTGTGTGAGTGTGAGTGTGTGTGTGTGTGAGTGTGAGTGTGAGTGTGTGTGAGTGAGTCAGTGAGTGTGTGTGTGTGTGTGTGAGTGAGTCAGCGAGTGTCTGTGTGTGAGTGAGTGACTGAGAGTGTGTGTGCGTGAGCTAGTGAGTGTCTGTGTGTGTGTGTGAGTGAGTGACTGAGAGTGTGTGTTACAATTCTATTTATTTATGGTTATTTAGATTTTTATTCCTCTTTTTCTTCAATTTACTGTCTGATAATTATTGCGTTTGATCTTACCGTATTTTAGCCTAACAGATGTTCCTGATATCTGTTGCATGTGCAGCAATGCATAAAATAATTAACAGTTTGTAAATATATAGTTAAAATTGTTTATAATTATCACATTTGTATTCCTTTTTTTACATCTACTGTTTGATACTGATTTTTTTTGCTGTTAGTTTATTGTGTTTCATCATAATTGCTGTTCCCTTCTGAAGTTTTATTAACATTTATTGAATTACATTGAATAAAATATTAATTAATTACAAAATGTTTGTATAAAGTGTTATGAATGATCACTATTCATTCCTTATTTTGTTAGATTTTTAATGATCAAATACTGAATAACAAAAATGCTTTCTATGTGCTCCGTTTCTAACAAGATTTTAATGTTTGCCTGTAATCATAATGTAAAACCTGATACCTTATCTAACCAAAAATATCTAAACCTTGACAAAAAGTAGTCTTTTAGAATGTCTAGATATAGATCTAAATGCAAAACCTAAAAACATGAAGAAATGATGTCTAAAAAACAACGGGAATCCAAAAGCCTCTGTATATATCTATATAGGGTGCTAATACAAGAGGTTACGCAGCATTACACAAGTTTTTATTTTTTAATGCCTCCAGATGGCCCAATTCTCACTTCGAAAAATTTATTTTAAATGCCTTCACTCTATTTTAATGTGAGATATTGCATTTATTAAAAAATAGTAAATAAATAAAGAGATTAAAAAAATAGTAATTCTAATGCAGAAAATTGCTCATTAAAATTTTGCTCATATAAATATAGCATAGTATCATAAAATTCCCTCAAAATCATAAATAATAATAAAAAAATATTATTGAACAAAGATATATTACATTGATTTTCCTGAAGAAGAAAAAAAAGAAGTTACATTTCAAGGCTTCGGTCACTTTTGACCGAGAAGAAGGCAAGTGTGGCTCCTAAACGAAGAGGGCCAGATTAAAAGAAGTATTTTAAAAATATAAACGTACATATATATTTGGAACAGCACTAAGGAAAACAGTTAATTTCACATCTGAAAGAGAACGTCTACTAGAACGAATATATGTTTTTCTTTCTTTCTTTTCTTCCTCCTGTCATCTTTTGTTCCACCCTCCAGTCCAGCAGGTGGCGGTAAAGCACATATTAGCTGGTCTGCCCCCCGCCAAAAACACTCGAGAAGAAGAAGAAGAAGAAGGCGGCCGCACACTTGTTTTTGTTGTTGCTTGTTTTTATTTCTTATATATATATATATATATATATATTTTTTTTTCTAAGCGCAGTTGATCAATGCTTTTAAAGTTGTGGTATCATCTTTAGAGAATCTGCATCGAGAGATTTGACAGAAAACCTGACTGCTTTACATCCACACATCTGCGTGTGGGAGGTTAGTAGCGTTATCTTTGTTTATTATGGTTCTAGTAAACGGTTTAAAGGATATTACTATAACCAAAGCCACCAGAGTAACCACACCAACATGCCGCAGCTATTGTGCCTACTGTAAATAACGCACTCGTATGATATATACCTCTTAACATGCTTTCACAATCTGTTAGTTTAAGTAATTTCGGGATTTATTTCTGCGTAGACTGTGGTGTGAATAAGCAAATGCCCATAGTTTTACTGTAGCAACGAAAGTAGTGTCTTGTTGTATTGGAGTTTAGAAGTAAATAGTGTTTGGTACGCAATTAAATGTGTCTTTTAAATGTATTTTTAGGCTCTGGAAGGGAATAGTCATGAGTGCTGGTGAGTATAATGCTTTCTAATAGAATAGAAGCTGTCCTCGGGTTCTCTCGGGGGCTTTCAAATGCTGAGTTTTGATTTATGGTCTGTGATGGACATCACTTTACTGTTCTACAGCACATCTCCGGTGTTAATGGCTCCACAAAGCTTGTGCTTCACTCCCTGTTTTACAGAGCGAGCGTTTGTGTTTGTTGATGAAGAGGAGCTCTTCAGCGTGACGAAGGATCTGGACTGTCTCTACTGCAGGATTCCAGTCACTGCATCTAAACAGCACCTCAGAAAGAAACATCTCAGATTCGCTATATATTATAAAGACTCTGGCCTCGGTAATCAACCTGCAACTGCTTCTACAACACACACAAATAGCATTCTACACCCGTTCCCAACTTGCATGTTGTCTGTTCTTGACAGGGAAGTTTTCTATCCCCTGTTACTGTTCTGATGGAGGCCAGGGCAGGAGCCACTGGCATTGCCCACTGTGCTCAAAAATATTGCACAGGACACAGAATTACAAAATCCATATTACCAACCACGGTTTGTGTCTTATCACAATACATTTCTTATTGAATGGTCTTAGAAGGAAAATGGAATATCAAATCTGTATCGGGCTGCATGATTGTGCACTGTTTACATACACACTACCAATATACACATGCTCGTTTATTATTATTATTAGCATTGTCTATATTGTAGAATATAAACAAACCATGTTTATTTGGAGCTCATCCAAGGTGGTTCTTGTTAATTGATATCCTTCGATTCTGATCTGTTTCACGCGACTGCAGGTGTTGAGATGACAGACAAGTCCTCAGGTGAGCAATGGCATTTAATCATTTTTCAGTAGCACTCATCCGTTGATCAAATGCTTGGCTGTGTGCAACACCACAGCAGCCTGACGGACTGTTTTGTGTGACGGTGCCTCCTAAAGACGCAGACGCATTTACCATTTCCACAAGTGAAATTCAAAGGGCAAAAGATTTCTCCATGCAGATTTCACATTGGGTTCGGTTGGTAATGCAGATTCGCCGTGTTACAACCGAAGACAAAGCGAGTGACTTCTGTGTGAGCTGTGTGCCTCATACATCGCTACACTATTGTTAGCAGACAGTGGACCTTTTTTGCCTTTTGAAATTTCGCTAATGTGACCACTCTTTAAGTATATAATTGTAGACCGGCTTCCAAGGCATCATAATATACTCATAGAAATCGTCACGCACTATGAGACGCGGAAGCGGTGTCTGATTCGTTAACGAGCTGATTCTTTTCATCACGCACTTTGTTTAGTGCATGAACCTATGGACCTGTCCATAGTTGTGCGTACCATCTGAACGGGGGTGGGTTTTATTTCAAAACTAGTGCAGTCAAACAAATAAAAGTTTTCGTTTACATAATATATATATATATGTGTGTGTACTGTGTATATTTATTATGTATATAAATACACACACATGCATGTATATAGTTAAGAAAAACATGTTATGTTTATGTTTTAAAACATTTATATATAATATAAATGATATGAATGTAAATATATACATGTCAATATTTTCAAAATATATATACTGTATATACATATATATACATAATAAATATACACAGTACACACACATATATATTATGTAAACAAAACTTTTATTTTGGATGTGATTAATCGCTTGACAGCACTATTCAAAACTAAACATAATGCAAAGTAGTATGTTTGCATAAGTTTTTTTGTTTGTTTGTTTGTTTTTTAAATGCTAACACATTTTGCCCCATGTATATTGTATATTTATATTTGCCAACACACATCATATACTATATGATAGGGGTGGGAATCACCAGAGAATCACTCACGATACGATATTATCACGATACTTGTGTCACGGTACAATATTATTGCGATTTTAAATATATTGCGATATATTGCAATTTATTACCTTTTTCCAACTTCAAATTATGTCCCCAAAGGAAAACTTTGACGACATCTGTTTTAACTAAAAAGAAACATTTCCCAGTTTGTTTATCTCACTTCGGTTGTATTGCTGCAGTGCAAAATGGGATTGTCAAGCAGACAAACTGACCAACACTCATGAAAACCTGTCATAAATGTTGTATGCACCTGGCAAACTTGACTATTTGTATTACAGTCTAATCTAGTCCACCTTAATTAAATGTAAACAGGTATTTACTGCTGTGCTACTTACAGGTATTTTGAGCAGTGTAAGTTGAAATTGTACTAAAAAGTTGTGCAGACCCTTCAGCAATTGGGCCATTTGAAAGTAAATTACTGTTCAATTTAAATTCAATTAAATAAAACATGTAGTCTTACATCTAGGAAGCTGACCTCACCAGAACCCAACACCACCATCTAGTGGATTGTAAAGAAATTTATTTTATTATTCTACCAAATAGTATAATAAAAGATGGATACTTGGCATCCGTGTATTGACACAGTATCGTCGTGGAGTATATCGCGATACTATGCTGTATCGATTTTTTCACCACCCCTACTATATAATTTTGTTGTTGTTGTTGTTTTCACTTGTTACCACACTTGAATTATCAGTAGTAATCAGTGAATGACATGTAGTTATAACAGGAGGATTGAGTGTCTAAAATTTTAAAAATCAAGTACTTTTGTGCTTTTACCCAAGTAAAATTGAAAAGGAGTACACTTATTGGATACACTTTATTTTAAGGTGTCCTTGTTACAGTGTAATTATAAATTTAAGTACGGAGTAATAATAGTTAACTACATTGACTTACTATATAGTTAGGGTTATTAGGGTTTGGCTTAGGGTTACTTGCATGTAATTATGCATAAGTTATTGTTATTATAATAGTAAGTACATAAAACATGTAACAAGGACACCTTAAAATAAAGTGTTGTTATTACTGAAGTAATATTTTATGCACTTTTACTCAAGTACTTCTTGATTTGTGTACTCCGTCCACCTCTGGTCACATAGTGGCTGATATTGTAAAGAAATTTATTTTATTATTCTACCAAATAGTATAATAAAAGATGGATCCGTGTATCGACACAGTATCGTCGTGGAGTATATCGCGATACTATGCTGTATCGATTTTTTCACCACCCCTACTATATAATTTTGTTGTTGTTGTTGTTTTCACTTGTTACCACACTTGAATTATCAGTAGTAATCAGTGAATGACATGTAGTTATAACAGGAGGATAGAGTGTCTAAAATTTTAAAAATCAAGTACTTTTGTGCTTTTACCCAAGTAAAATTGAAAAGGAGTACACTTATTGGATACACTTTATTTTAAGGTGTCCTTGTTACAGTGTAATTATAAATTTAAGTACGGAGTAATAATAGTTAACTACATTGACTTACTATATAGTTAGGGTTATTAGGGTTTGGCTTAGGGTTACTTGCATGTAATTATGCATAAGTTATTGTTATTATAATAGTAAGTACATAAAACATGTAACAAGGACACCTTAAAATAAAGTGTTGTTATTACTGAAGTAATATTTTATGCACTTTTACTCAAGTACTTCTTGATTTGTGTACTCCGTCCACCTCTGGTCACATAGTGGCTGATCATTCAGTTTTGGAAACAGCCATATCCCAAACTGAGATTCATCTCAAAGTTTCCTCTTCTTCCAGTTGAGCTACAGCCTACAACTGTCCTGTTAGAGAGCCTACAAACAGACAACGAAGACAAGACACCAGGCAACAAGGCAGTGTGCCAAAAGTGTGGGATCCACTTTACCACAACGTCAAATTTGAGACGGCACGAGAGACTACAGCACAGCCAGGACCAGCAGCCCATTTTATGCATAGATGCCAAAAATGCAATCTATGTTACACCCAAATATCTGCACGGGCCAAGAGTGCCCATTCATATCCGCAAGTCCTTCACCTTGCAGATTCTGCTGTGTGAGCTGGAGGAATGCTGGGATTTCATGAAAGCGCAGGCCCAGAGCGGGAATCCTGGGAAGGAATGCCGTCACCTGCTCCGAACGAATCAGGCTACGTTCTACGTTCCCCCTCCGCCGCTGTGCATTAACTCTCTGGAGGAGATGAGCCACAAACACCTCCTGTCCGCATCCGAGAGACACGAGTGCCAGGAGATCAACTCTAGGGCATGTATGCAGGGGGTGGATTGTGTGTACCCTATTTTTTGGGGCGAGCATGACCTTTCAGAGAGATGTGTCTTCTTTTCGGTGTACACCGACCTTGAGGACAAATGGTGTCAGTTTGGGAGGACACACGTCTCGTTTGACACCAAGTCTGGCAGCTGGAAGTGTCTGTGTAAGCACAAAAGAAGCCACTGCGTCCACAAGTGTTTGTCTATGTGGTGGTTGTTTCAGGAGCGTCCTGAGCTGTTGCAGAATGCCCTAGATGTCCACGCGGAAAGAGTCGACGTGCTTGAGGAAGCGGCCATGGATGCAGAGGACGTGCTTTAGATGACGGACTCCACATCCGTCAAAACTTCTCTCGTTTTCTGTCTTTACTCAATAAAAACACTAGGCGTAACCTTTATGTTGGCTTGTTTTTTGTTAACGGTTGGTTTGCAAAAACTTGTGTGCTGTGCTATGTTTGCAGTGTTGAGGGAAAGGCATTACAAGTAACGCTAGTTATGTAATCAGATTACTTTTCTCAAGTAACTAGTCAATAACACATTACTTTTACATTTGCAATGAAATATTGAAGTTACTTTTTCCCATTTTAGTCACTTCAGCCTGAAGCTTATTAATTTCACTTAAAAAAAAATTTAATTGGCCTTTACAGTTGCCAAAAATATAACTTTTTTTGTGTTTTTGTTATTCATAATTAAATAAGCAAGCCCAGCCCAAGCGACAAAAAGTAACACAAAAGTAATGCAACGTATTACACTCTTAAAAATAAAGGTGCTTAAAAGGTTCTTCACGGCGATGGAAGAACCATTTTTGGTTCCACAAAGAACCATTCAGTCACAGAACCATCTCTTTCTTACCTTTTAATAATCTGAAGAACCTTACACCACAAAGAACCTTTTGTGAAACAGAAAGGTTCTTCAGATGTTAAAGGTTCTTTATGGAACCATTTAGACAAAAAGGTTCTTCTATGGCATCGTGAAGCACCTTTATTTTTAAGAGTGTACTTTCCATAAAAAGGAACTTAAGTAACGCAATTAGTTATTTTTTATGGAATAATGCAGTATTGTAATTATTACTTTTAAAAGTCAATTTCCACAACATTGTATGTTCATGGTGACCGTGATTTCACCAAGTACAACATGTTCCTGGATCAACATCCTTGTTGATCCTGGAACAACATTCCAATTAACCAATCAGAATTGAGAGATAACTTTTCAGGAAATATCTGTTTTAGGCTTACAATCAGGATTAGGTGCTTCTACACCCTTGTTAATCAGCTATCATTCCACACTGATTTTAGGAATAAATTATGGGTAGGGTTAGGTTTAGGGGTAGGGATTGGGTTTAGTCTATATTTTTGGACAGTAATGTTGATCCACACTCTAAAAAATGCTGGGTTAAAAAGGGACAAACCCAGCTATTGGGTTGTTTTGACCCAGCGGTTGGGTTGTTTTGGAGTCAAAACAACCCAACCGCCGGGTCAAAAACAACCCAACCGCCGGGTCAAAACAACCCAACCGCCGGGTCA